TAGGAAATTGTTGTCAATTCACCTTCTTTAAGCTAGATTTTAACTTTCAACAACCCTACCAATTCCTCAATTATTGGCTCACCTTTTGCAATGCGAAGTCCAAGCAGTTCATCTGCTGTSACTCTGTCTTCTCTAAGTTGAAAATACGATATGCTTTTTGCCAGTGATTGAATAGTTTTTACAACTAGTAACCCAGAGTCCGACTCAACCTGTTGCGATCTGGTGTGAATGAACCGACTCTGAACCAAGAAATATAGCGTAATCATAGACAATATCATATTGCTGAGAATGCTCAACTGAAGTACATTTTTACGAATTAAAGGTAAATATTGATTGTGATATAGAAATACTACAAACAGTGTAAGAATAATAAGTAAATTTACCATTTACCACCAACAGCTGTTGGATTCCATAATGCAATGCGCCCATAAACACAGGAAGCCCATAAAACTCACGATTGTGAAATAGGGTGTTTGGTGGCTACTTTCATGTTTACTTTTCATAATAAAATACATGACTAAGTCATAATTTGCCTAGCGAAGGTGATCGTGTATAGTAGCTAATAAGTATAATGCTAAAAACCATAAAAGTACAATAAGAGAGTCGTAATTAAATATACTAAAGATACGTCCCGTTAGATCCTGTTAGCTTATCACATATAAATGGATTTTCCTTTTGAAACGAAAGATAATACCCTCATAGAAGTGTTTCGAAATTCCCCTGAGTTTCCTTCCCCATCACCTCCTTCTCTCTCCCCCACGATTCGCAAGCCTTAATCAATTCATACCGAGAGGTGTTTTTAATTGATTTATTGTTCAAATCAATAATTGACTATTTTAAAACTTGAAATAACTTGAAAATTAACAATTTATTTTTCCTGAACATCATAGCATCACTAAACTAGTCCATAAGCTTCATTTGACCAATTGCTTCTGACAAACAATGGAAGCTCTCTCACAGAAGTCTTCAAACATCCGCTACAAGAACAAAACAGGGTGGATTAATACTCACTCCACCTCCGTATATACTGGTATGAGTTTCATTTGTAATGATATGTTTGGTGCGTTTTTCACTGACTAATTTCACTCTTCGAGACTATGAAGAAAATCATCCACCCTCCCTCTTTCCAGGGCAATCACACCACGATGACAAAGACACAGACAATAACTCTGATTACTACTAGTGATAATATCAGTGAAGACTAGAAGAACAGTGTACTAACAAGTCATTTTAGGGGAGTTACATGTTTATCAGCCCAGAAAAATAAAGGAAAGATATGTCATAACGGGTTGTCTCAAGGAAAAGAAATTCACGGCGAGAGGAGAACGTCAGTTGTAACACTAGAGCTGTGACAAATCTGGCCTTACAGCTTCACAAAAACATGTAATGAATCCAACTAACCTTGTTCTCTGGCTGTCTTAACCTTTTGTTTCGCTTGAACAAGGACGCGGTCGGCGGTATAGCTCCATGCGGATTGAGACTAAGACCAGCAGAAATACTGACTACTTCAATAACTGCATTTGACAAGAAAATGACAAGTAGAAGTTGGACAATGAAGGTATTGGTCATGATGCAGGGTGGCAGAAGTGGGATTGCATTCAATCCAAATGTGTAGACCTCTCTTTTTTCGGTAAGTATTTAAAGGACTCAACTAATTATGTGATTTTATGATTTCCGTTATTAGAGATGGATACTTTTAGCGTATGACAGGTTCGGTATTAACAGACTCTTGTACTAGGACTGTTTAAGTKGCAAGTCACGTATTATTTACTGCTATTTTACGTCAATAATACATGGTGTGGACGGCGTCAATGATAATGTTATGAGGGCAATTAGCTTGGAGGTATAATGAAYGCCCCGATAGGCACTTTTAAATACTATATGAAGATCAACACGTCGCGTAATTGCTCTGATTTGACCATTTTTTAACACTTAGAACCAAGATCCTGTTATTTAAACGATTAAGGTACTATTAACAAGAACGGACCGGAAAAAGATATCTCTTGTGTTAAATGGTGCACTCTACATTAAATAAAAAGTATGTTTTGCTGTGCAGCAATCAATGTCTTTTCCGCGCGACTAGTTAATTACTAATGAATATCGCTGTATTTTTAGTTAACTTGAGTAAAATACATGACCACACCAGAGCCCAATAACAACTTATCAAAAATATCCTTTATGACGTCATTGATATTTATCGTGCATGTTGGCGTCAACATTAGGTCATGTGATTTCATGAAAAAGTTGTTTGTAGTTTTCTTTGAAGCCGTTAGTTTTCTATTGAAAGTATAGTTGAAGGTATTGCCTAACACTAGTTTGTTTGGACGCGATTTAGTTTAAAAAACTTCTGTGTATCCTGGATAATAGTGAAGGAGCACAACACTATGAGACCCATGGGGGATATGGGAGTATATTTTAAGGTGCTCTCGTTAATCATCTCTGGCTAACTCTGTCCCTGCCCATGGCATGATAGGACTTGGTAAATATTGACCTATATTTGCTTAGCCYTAGGCAAATATGCTACTATAACATACARCGGACGCTGATTTGAACTAAAAATACAAACGATTAGTATGTCTTATCAAAAGTATTTTCGGCAACCAATTCTTTTACGTCGTCTTGCAGATTGTCTACTAAATGACGCAGGAAGTGCAGAATAACGTCGTCCCCTGCCTACAGTGATGCACGTACTGTTCTGGAACTTGTTTTTATTTATTATCATTATATGCATGAGGACGGGGAAAAATACACTGATGTCGACTAGGTTTTATTCAGTAGTACAGCATAACATGACTAAATACTGCTATGCCGAATTTCAAATTTATTGATCGAAAGGTATATGAATAGCTAACGAGACCGAGAGGTTTTAGTATCCACCAAACTATAGTGAAAATTTAAAAGAAGAAAACAACAAAGACCATTTTTTTCAACAATTTGTTTTGACTATTTTTTCTTCATTCAAAGCGACCTTGAACTTTCTTCATATATCGCGTTGTTACGGATGAAGTCCAACCATTTCCATATACTCAGCGGAATGGTAGTATAGCTTTCTTGAACAGGATTTGATGTCTTCGAATCCGTCGAATTTTGCTAAAATCCATGAAAAAAACTGACTAGACTATCGAATGTGGCGTAACTTTGCATACATTTACATGATTTTGAAACATGATATGTCCACCAATATGGCGGCCAACCGAAAACTGATCACGTGTTATCACGTGGGTGAAATCGATCTATATCATGAATGGACCATAGATCAGTGTCCAATTAGAATGCTTGATTTGTGGTAGCCCGTAGTTTGGTGGATACCAAGTCACATTAACCTTATATTTGTCAGCAGAACTGATAGTGAGTAAATGTATTCAACTGAAGAGTCTCTCTTTAAAATCATGGCTTTGTTATAGAACATAAGAAGCTATGTATACAATTTGACTCATTTATTTTTCTTTAGTGATGATAATCTGGTAAAGTCTTGTAGACGATTGTAATTTCTATTTTGGCACTCAGTATTTTAACTTAATTGCTCTTTATATAGCTATTTTAAAATAGGTAATTGTCACATCGAAAGGCAAATGCACGACCGAAAATTGCTGTTGGTATGGATTATTGATGGCAATATTCACTCACGAGACATCAATAACGTCGTTTCCATCAAATAAAGATTTTCGACGGTGATATGTTTGGTGTATTTTCCTACACAAACAGAAAACCCACATTGAATTTAGGTCGTGCTGCAATCGCCGTTGCGCTCTGACAACTTATTTTGAAATAGCTATATCCATATTTCTCTCGTTAAAAGCGCACTCTTTCAGTAGCTCGTTCTTTTGCTTTTTAATAATGTTTGTTTATTTGGCTGGCGAGGCGCTTTCCTTAGTTTTTTTATTATTTAGTTTGTTAGTTGCTTGATAGTTTTGTATAGAGTGGAGCGACCAGAACACTCAGTTTGCTGAAGAAGATCGAATGACCGAAACGTCCAGAGTTTACAAGTTGCAAATAACGTGAATTTTTTTCTGTTTGTATAATGATTGATTTTTAAGCTAAAGATTATTGAAATTCCTTCTTGATTTATTAATTACAACTAGATGGTTTCGTGTGAACACCTCATCGGGTGATCACGCTCGTAAGGAAGTTACATTCATCAGAAAAACAGCTAGTAGCAATAAATCAATGAACTGAAAATTCCAAAAATCTCTATAGTTCTTTGATTATTTATCATTCTCTACAAAGTTGAGAACTACGAAAACTGTATCAAGTGTGCTATCCGTCTTTATCGAGAAGACGCACGTCGAGGAGACACGCCTTGTTCGTCATAGGTGTGGGAAGTAAGGAAGGAAGACACTCAAAGACTGAACTGAGGTGACCGGTTCTGCAATCAAAATCTTTTGAGTTGRCAACCTTTTCCTTGGCGCCTGTGAAACAATCCATACTTGTAATGTTTGAGTTCAATTCAACGTATTCAAAATAGACTCTCTAATTAGTTATTGGCTCCCCATAGATATGACTTTTTGTGGAGCCGTGAATATTAGCTTTTTTTAGTGATTAGTTTACTTGGTTAGAATGCTCCAATTTGCCATAAAACATTAAAAATAAGATTAAATTCTGACTAAAAATTTGCCGACTATTGATCGGTTTGAAAAAAGAAAATGTGATATTTTTGTCATTTATTGGTTTGATGTAATTTCACGCAACSCMAAATGGAGTGGTTTCACCTACTTTGAACAACAACTTATTTTAATAAATTATATTAAATAGCACTTTTTGTCAATACTCCCAGTATTACGACAGACTCATTCTCACTAGTGTTTATTAAATGTGTTGCTTCAAGCTGTTTTAATTTCATATCTAGCTAAACATTATACATAATTGATTAACACTCGAGTCGGTCTTTCCTCTTTTCCTTTCAAAATTAACACGTCTTTTCTCATGCCATTTTTATTTAAATTTACCACCAGGCGTGGGTAGTCCTTGTTCAAAGACTTGATTTAAAGTTTAAAAGTCCATTTAAGGAATGAAAACACGATCTGGTAACAGCGGTTTAAATCTGTTTGCTAAGTGCAAGGAGTTCAACCAACTTTAAACAAGATGACAAAAATCTGTTTTTTACTGTACATTGGTTTAATTGTATTACTCATCGATGGAGGTAGTGGTTACTCATGGTCTGCCAAGGCAAGTGGGAAAAATAAATATGTTGGGCGAGACGAACAGCTTCGTCGAATGAAAGCCTCAAGTGACGTCAGACAAAGAGGCGATCGATGGAGAGAGTCTGTAAGTTTGGAATATGCAGAAATCCTTTTCTGTCACTTTCGAACATAAAGATAGTAACTAATAAGTTTTTAAAGATTTCTTATTATAAAAAAATGCAAACATATGAGAGGCGTTGCAAACTAGCCACACCCGTTTTGCCTTTCAGGAATTCATAACCTCAGGAATAGGACTTTTGAGCTAGATACTTTGCATTTGATTTAAAACTTTGTTAATTATCTTTAAATGAAGTCTAACCAGTTGAGCCTTATATATAGCATCTATCAAATCGCTGCATCTGAATTGGACCCATCGATGTCCAAACTCCATTGCTTCTCATACCATTATCTAAAYACTATCGTTACCATCGCTAAACCTGAGGAAATGCAAAAACYTATTTTATATCGACACTGTTTGTTTACTATACGATAGTATAGTAGTTTAGAGTTTAAAACTTAAATCCGACAAATTTCACTTCAATCTGACTAATCTGTATTTTTTAAAAATCTTGCATTTGACAAATTTTGAAACAACTTAGTGTGATCCTCGGTCGGAATGCAACCCTGCTATGCGACACTCGCGTTTAAGCTTATTCAAACAGCTGGATTATATTTTTAATGAAGTCTTTTATCTTTAGCGTCATCAGGATGACAAGTTACAACCAAGCAAAGATGATGATTTTGGCTTTAAAGGTTCCAGAATGGAGTTACAATATTGACAGCAGATAGGTTTTAAAAGGTCAAAAGAAATCCGCACCTTTTTACCTGTTTAGCCAATCAGAGCTTCTTATACTGTTAATATTATTAGCTGTATTAGGTCTATGAATCAAGACGCGTRAATAAATAATCGCTTTTTCTATTCACACATTCAAAGCTACCGATGAGAAACGGTTTTAAAAAAATATGAAGATGTTAAATGTACGTAAAATTACCTGAAGACGTAGCTTTTTTGTCAAATTGGAAAAAGCAATATATTGAACGACTTGCTGGTCATGTCACAAAAAAACAGATTTCAAGAAGTGTACATGTTATTTAATAAACCTCAATTACGACCATCAAGTTTGTCTGATTTCTATTAGAGTTGAAAACACACAACTGAAACCGACATAATTGTACACTCCAAACTGCCGTCCTTTGCTCGAAGGCATGCAACGCGCTACCAAATTATCGCTCCATTTTCCAGGAAAAAACCCCTTAGTTTGATGGATCAAGGGGAGGGATACGTCGTTGCTATGAGACATAATTGACATTATTCTCTAATACATGAATGATACCCTGATAATTGAATGTATCCCTCCATCATCGCGAGTCGCCCTGKTTTTTCTTCACGATTTGTGGGAACTAGTTGCACCCCTAAAATATAGCACCCCTAAAATATTCTGGATCCGGCCCTTTACCCACGTGGCTACACATTAAACCCGTGAAATAGTGAGTTGTAGTGAACATTATTTTGATTTTTTGATTTTTTTTTAATTTTTGCTACAACTGGAGTATTACTCACAACTATTGCTACACGAATTATACGTAATAATAGAAATAGATCGTCGATTCTTGATCCCCTTACTCGCTATTGGTATTATATGAAATATCGTCATTAAACCTAACTAAATACTCGTCGGTACAATAAGGTGTGAAGCTCAACCAAGCATTTCCTATTGTCGCGAGTATGGTCAATTCCAGTTAGTGGTACAATGCTGGGTAGTGGTACAATGCCGGGTAGTGATAGAATGCTGGGTAGTGGTACAATGCCGGGTAGTGATAGAATGCTGGGTAGTGGTACAATGCCGGGTAGTGATAGAATGCCGGGTAGTGGTACAATTCCGGGTAGTGGTACAATGYCGGGTAGTGGTACAATGCCGGGTAGTGGTAGATTCCGTTCATTTTTGGAAATTACGGTGAATGATAGGTCATCATATATAC